TCAGTCCCAGGGATATGGGGATCTCAATGAGGATCCATTTTCAGATTGTTGAATATTACCTATTTTTAGGGGTTGAAAACCAAATGTTGGTCACTTTGTATACAGCAGATACTTACTGTATTTAAAGCAGAATGTCTGAAGAATAAGTAATGTTAAAACCAGGAATGCATCTTGTTTCCCTCTATCAAAACAATATGCACAGAACATACCTGTCCGAGTGCTAAAAATGCACTGAAATGGTCAAGTTGAGGCACGTTACCTTTCTCTCAGTAGTCTATTCATAGTTTTTGAAATTTGGTTGATTTGACACGGAATGACCCCATAGCAAACACCCTAGCATTATGAGGGATTTCCACAAATATGTAAAAAAGTTATAAATCACTGAGCCTCCTTTCACCAATTTAGCAACAGAAGCAGACTTTGTGTTCTACAGCATTTCTAAACACAGCCACAGCTTTCTACAGGCTTTGAACTTCAGATGCGCTACTCAACATGAAGAGGCTGGGGAAAAATGCAGGAAAGAGCAAAAGAGAGGAAAGAGGGGGGTTTATTTGGATCGTTTTTCATGGAGTGTTAAAAGGGCTTCCACAATCACCAAATCAATCCCGACCTACTGGTAACTGGGCAAGAGGTGAGAGGTGCTTAGCTGTGAGACAGTGTGAGAAAATAACAGAGAGAGAGAGACAGAAAGAAAGAAAGAAAGAAAGAAAGAAAGAAAGAAAGAAAGGGGGAGAGAGAGAAAGCAATGATCAGTTTTGTAGTGAAACTGAAGGAATAAATCTCGCTGGTAATCCCTTATTAAATAGTTCTTAGAACTTCTTGGTCTTTGTGCGGTTCTGTGCTTGTCTTTTCCGTCAGTAAAAAGTCTGTTAAAATCCAATAAGAGGGCTGGATATGGACCACTTGTCACAGTGCTAATACACACCAGCAGTGTGCACGATCAGGATCTGAAACACTAATTTACCACAAGCTTGTGCTATAACAAGATCTCAGGAAAGAATAATGCTACATGCACTTGAAGAGAGCAAAATAATTTTTCAACTTTTTAATAAAATAAAATACATAAATGCATACTTGCAGTATTATTCAAAAGTTTGGGGTGAGTTGATTTCGCATTAATATTATTATAACTTCATATAAATGCTATAAAGTTTCTATTTATCAAAAAATCCTGAAATAAATTATTGCGATTTACACAAAAAAAGCAACACAATTTTTTTCAACATTTGTAACAATAATTTTTTTCTCGAGTTCAAATCAGCATATTAAAATGATTTCTGAAGAAATAGAAAAAAAAATCTAATAATAAAATTTGACAATATTTTTGTTTTTAACTTTTTGATTAAATAAATGCAAATAAATACATTTGTAAAATATAAAATGATAATAAATTAAAATGAACTATTCTGATTCCATTTCCTTCTCACATAACAAATCAGTATTTCATGTCTGTTTATTTATTTATTTGGGTGGCCATTGTTTTAGCATACTTCCTATGTAAAAATACGATCAATTCCTGATGGCCCTACACGGAATATACTGTTTCACCCAGAAATACGTTACATTATGGACTTAAAATGGGATGCAAATTGAAATTCCAGTTGACTTTACCGACTAGGCTACACATGCCCCCAGTCTGTGTTCACACTCGCTTACAATTTATGACATGTTATGAAGATTCTAGTAGACTTCAAAGAAAGCCATTTTGAAACTAAATGACCTCTGGGCTGCCATGACTGACAATGTGCAAGTGATCGACCTGTCACCAATAAAAGCCATATAGTCAAAAGACCTGCAGCTAGTCCGTCTAGAGACTTCACTGCAAATCTTCACCTCAGAGAGTATAAGAACACAAAAATCTAAATATTTTAGTCTCTTTGTACTTTAGAGTGATGAGATGAAGTTTCAAATGATATCTGAGGATGCAAGTCAATCACGTTCCGTCAATCACTCCCTCATCATCTCCAAACACAGTCTTGAGTGTCACTCCCAGGATCCTCAGAGACATTTCAACTATTTAGCAAGCCACCAATGCTAGCAGACAAACTGAGAGCAATTCATTTCAATGCTCGTTCAGTATTTGTTACAAAACCAAAAAGCAAAATCTCCTTGAAAAATGTTATCTCTGAAATGAAGCCGGCTTGCACTTTCTTCTCCTGCCTTTGTTGAACCCATTCCAAATCCATCTTTCTCTTAAAAAGGATTATTTAACTTTTTGCCTTTTAAAAACTTCCTCCAAAATGGCTAATTATATCAAGCTAGCATCTTAGATCTAACTGATGTTTCAATAGCTATGCAACAGACAGAAAACTTCACTTTAATGTTTAATGGCATATCTGAGAAAGAAGGATGGTGAAGGGCGCAGTACATGCGAATGTGCGTTAGTGTGCGCTAGCACTTCTGAGCTCAGCAGATGTCCCTCCTACAAATGTGGCAGCCGTTGCAGGTGTATCGCTGTCGCCTCCCCATGCGTCAGATAATATCACAGCCACAAAAGAGTTTACAAAACACACAGCTAACTGCCAATTATAGCGAACAAGTCGCTGCCTGCACGGCACCTCAATGCAGCGCTCAAAAGCCGCTCTTCGAGAGGGTGTGTTGTGATTTTCTCTGTCATTTAAGCATGTTTAAGAAGGTGATGATATGTAACCGATTATATATAACTATAGGCAATCATTCGCACACATCAGATACTCATTATGGTGCAGGGGTTTATGTAAAAAAGCTAAATAATGTTCAGGCTGTGAGTAAGCAGCTAAAGTTGCTCTGCTGTGGTGCTGTTGGAGGTGGATGTCTGCTGGGCTTTGGACTGCTGTGAGTGTCACACTCGCACCTCGGATGGAAAACGTATTTATAATAGCAGCTCTCACACCGCACTTCCATTAGTGTGCCGCTTTAAATGCCACCAGGTTAATTAAATCTCTGATTACTGTGATTCACATGCGTGAGTATACATGTGGAGGGAATCCAGCACATACTAAGGAGGAGAGATTTAAAGAAGGACATTTTCAGGACAAGAATATCAAGTATATCAAGTGAAACAATCCAAGTCATTGGTCAATTAATTTCCAGTCAAATTAAATATAGATCACATCTTAGGTGCACTGAATGCAAATTCATTTAGGTGTCTAAAGAACCACTTCCGGGCATGTCGATAAGTCAACCGCTTGTATCATTGGACCACAGTAGGCATTGCTCTTAAACTGTTAAGAGGTGGATTGATTCACTGCGACCAAACTGTGCTTTGCGCACATGAACCAGGCATGTGATTCCATGCATAACTTCCTGTCCTCTACCCACCATCTCTATCAATAAAAAGCAGCAAAATTCACATGCAACAAATAGAAAGTCTATTATCTTTAAAACATTGCTTACTGCTACTTTGCATTGACTAAATAAACTAAAAACACTGTAACTGTTATCGTGACATTTACTCTGCAAGTGCTGGGACCGAGATACTGAGGACCCATCCAATCCTCTGCCTGCTGAGGCTAATGAGTGTAATAAGGCATTTCATTGCAGCCATTATTAAAATGAGCAAGGAAACAGCCACAAAGTCTAGTTTTAAAAGGTTTGCTATCGTAGATTCAACTTTAAAAGGGTTCTGTGTACAAAACAATTTGTTTTTAGGCAGGCAACAAGCATTAACCCTGTATGGTACACATTATCGTACCGGTCAAATTTTAAAACTGTAATCATTGTCAGCGCCCATAGCCTTGTGGTTAGTGCGTCAACATATAGCGCAACTGTGCTCACGGCGACCCAAGTTTGAATCCCGCCTCGAGGTCCTTTGCCAATCCTGCTCCCTTCTCTCCTCCCAGTGCTTTCCTGTCAGCTCTCTACTGTCCTCTCACAATAAAGGCATAAAAAGACCATAAATATAACTTAAAAAAAAAAAATATATATAGTAATAATTTTACACAACAAGGACATATTCAATTAATCAAAAGTGACCATAAGGACGCTTGTATTGTCACAAAATATTTTTATTTCTATCAATAAAAGAATACTTCAAAATGTTTCCACAAAAATATTAGCAGGAAAACTGAATTCAATATTAATAAAAATAAGAAATGTTTATTGAGCAGCAAATCAGCACATTAAAAATATTTTTGAAGGATTGCCATCAAAGACATACATTTTAAAATGATATTAAAATAGAAAACAGTTATTTTAAATTGTAATAATATTTCACAATATTACCATTAAATACCATTCATTCAAAAGAGGAAAATTTAAGAAAGCATAATGTTGCCATATGAAAAATGCTTTTATTTTAAGAAAAAAAAAATCAATCTTCAAAATAATTTCTTTCTGAATTAAATGTTATATTTCAATAATTGGAACTCTTACATACTAAAGCACCATATTATCTGTTACTTTAAGCATTTTAATTTTTATTTCCAATATATTACGTTACATCCTTCTCTGTAAAACGAGAATAAATGAAAGCCATATGGATGCACCATACCATAAAGGGTTAAAGAACAAAATTTAGGCCAGGACATTAACAATCATCAGTCAATCATTTGTCTCATTTTATCCATTTAGCTTTCTTTGAATACTTTACACTTCAACAAATTTGTTCAACAATAGGGAAAAAGGACTTGCACGTCAGAACTGAGGGAAAAATTTCTCAGGATTACAGAATGAGACAAGAGAGAGGAAACAACTGAAAGGCTGGCAGGATCCAAATACCACATTGAAAAGAAGTGAAGAAAAACAGTCTCAGATTTGAAGCAGCTCTTTTTAAACCAGGGCAAACAAACCAAATAAACACCCACCCAGCTAATTCCTTTAGGAGCTAGCCAGGTACATGAATATGAGCCTTTTGTTGATGGAAAGGCTCATCTAAAGAGCATGCAAATAAACCAAGATCCCTTCTTGTAGTAGAACTGATGCGGGTAAAATAAATAAAGAGCACTTGACAGTGGAACCACCGACACATTAAGGACAAAATGGTTAAAAGCGTGTAAATACGGTAAGACACGTCACTCTACCTTGTAGCAGGACTCCCTTGTTTTTTCTGTAAAAGGGACTTCCTGGCCAAATTGGAGGACTGGACATACTGTAAAGAAAACACAGTGGAGAGAATGATGAGAAAGTGACACAGACAGATGATGTACAACTGACAGATGGACTGCAATCCTGAAAAACAGACAGCGAAACGGCATGAAAGATATTTTAAGAGATAAACCGTGCCAAAAGACAGAGAAAGCGCATATCCACAAAGAATTACCATGGTGACTGTAGCTTCTGCCAATTTTAATTTTGATACTGTAAAATCATAAATTAATACAGGATCACAGTTCAAGTTATCAAGTTATGAGATCATGTCATCACAGATTTACATTAAAAACATTAACTGATGCAGCTAGAGATGAGCAAAGCTACATGTTTTCAAATAAAATGCTTAGAAAACAGTCGCAATGCAATTTCCAAAAGATGTCTGTCTGATTATACATGGCTGTTTTAAAGGAAAAGATCACGCAAAAATAATGCTGAATATCTACTCACTCTCAGGTCAACCAAGACGTAAATGATTTTGTTTCTACATCAGAACAGATCTGGAAAAATGTAGCATTACATCACTTGCTCACCAGTGGATCCTCTGCAGTGAATGGGTGCCGTCAGCATGAGAGTCCAAACAGCTGATAAAAACATCACAATAATCCACAAGTAATCAACACAACTCCAATCCATCAATCCTAAATCCAAAAATGTCCTCAAGTGAAAAAGCCCCTGCTGTCCTTTCACATTAAAATCCACCTTTATATTTATATCTGTGCATATTTCACTCCTGATTCAGATGAGACATTTGACTTTAAAAACGTCTTGATGGATTTGTTTCTTACAAACACATAGACTTTCACTTCAAAATACGTTAATTGATGGACTGGAGTGGTGTGGATTACTTTTGGATTATTGTGATGTTTTTATCAGCTATAATTACATTGATCTATTTTTGATTATTACTAAATATTTAATCTAAACAAAAATTATATATATATATATATATATAAATTTATATAAATAAAAATTACATTTAAATAATATATAAACATATACATGCAATAAATATAAAAATAATACAAAATAATATAAATGATTAAATTAGAAAAGATAAACTACTTTAAGTGTTGCAACAGTATGTAAACTGCAAAGTAATAAATGTTGACCAAATGTACTACTTGAGAACATTTGTGAAGAATATGAGTGCTTCAAATATGATCAAAGTTCCCAAATTCAGTCACAAATTTTCTCTTTATCTTTTTCATCTCCTCCAATGCAATTTTCCTCCCTTAGCCATGATTTTTCATGCTCCATACTGTTTGCATTCCCAAACACTGATCATTTGTGACAGCAAATATGAATTTCCTGACCTTTTTGTTTGGGATTTGTGAAGTACTGGAGCATGGTTTCACATTTAGCAGTTCCCACAGAGTTTAGAAATGGTTTATCCACGTCTCTGTTTTCTGACAGTTCCTTCTGATCTGAATATGTTTTGCTTCAAAGGTTCCGATTTTTTTTTTCTCGTGGATTAGCTGCTCAGTTTCTATCAATTATCTGCTTGTGTACGATTCCTTCTCCGTCTCACTGTCTCGCTCAGCGCTCACTGTGAGCTTCACAAATCTAATCAAGAGCAGTCTAATCTTCAATTTAGCCCTCTATCCACTTTCTGCCTCCCTGTAGATTCAGAATGTGCAGACATTGGCTCTGTCATCTCCCCCTTCTTAATCTTCTTAGAGTATATTAACTAATTGAGAATTAGAACAAAATTTCTCCAAATCTGATTTGATGAAGAAACAAACTCATCTACATCTAAGGTGGCCTGAGGGTGAGTAAATTTTCAGCAAATTTTTATTTTGGGGAAAACTCTTCCTTCAAGTATTATAATAAGACGAATTTCAAAACAACTTTTCTACAGGGTTTTACCATGTGATTTGTCAGCTGAAGGAGCTACAGTAACAGTTAAAGCTAAGCAAAACTGCAATAAATTAATACATTTAAAAAATCCAATAGAATAATAAAAAATAAAAAAAATCTAAAACTAGTAAACCTTCAACAACTTTGGGTACAATGGCAGGTTTTTGTATGGGAACTACAATACTTCTGCCCCAGGAACCAGCAAACAGCATTTGCTGCACATATAAAAGCTATGGATTTTTCTTGGTGATCATGGACATCCTTTAGAGTAGAAGGTCAACAGTTCCTTCGTGAAAAGAAGTGATGGTGTGAGGCAGGATGTGTGTACAAACTCAAAATGTATCTGAGAAGAATGTAAGGAACAACAGATCACCGTAACAAAACAACATCATACTCAGATGCCTGCAGTTCAGTATATTATTTGACATATTAGTATAATAAATCAAATAATATATGATAAACTTAGTACTTATTTTATAATCAAATTTAACCATTATTGTATTAATAAAAATGTTAAGCATTCATATAAAAAATAGTAAAGTGATATTAAATTATATCATCAGTATAGAAACAAATTTTATTACTAAAAAATATTGAATAAGTAAATGTTTTGATTATTACTAAACATATTAATATAAATATTATTACTAAATATAAAAATTATATAGATATAATAATTGAGAATTAGAACAAACAGAGGTGGCACAGGGCTTTGAGCACATTTGTCTACATGGTGTATTTAAAAGACTGCAGGTTGACGGGGCTGTTTTGGCTCTGGACCTCTCCTGATGAAGGAGCGCTCTACGGTGCGTGGCATCTCCGAGCGTCGAGAGGCCGTGTGCCAAAGCGAATAAACACAGCACTGCCACTTCACATTTGCTAATCTCCACAGGGCTGTCAGACTTCAGGTATCTGCCCTGACAAATGAGGATAATTTAGTGTGAGAAGTAATGGAACCTCTCTATTTCTTTACAGATCCATTAATTACAGTGTTCCGTCAGAATGTGTTTGATTTTTTTCCCTCTTTTTATCCCGTTGAGAGTGATTAAAACATATCTCGGCACAGCTCAGACGCAGCTTGAGACGAACATCTTCATTAGCATACTAGTCGCCTAGCAACTGAAACATCTCTAACTTTCAACTTTGAGATTTTTTCACTAACCTTACACCTGAGTACAGCACGCAGTCATTACTAATGTAAGGATCCACCAGTTCTGATTCACTTATCCCCTAAATGAAAAAAAAAAAAACAGCGTACCTAAAAACAAGCAAAAAGGTCAAACTAAATACAAATACATTTACTTTTGCTCCTTACAACCACAATAAATGAGACTAATATCAGAACAGTATAAAAATATTCACTCCACAAAAATCAGAAACTTGTAAAGTATAACTTAAAAAAGACCACTGTGAATTTAATTGCTGATTAAGATATTGAGTTGAAGACTTGCAAAACAGAGTACTAAAGGCAGAAATTAATATGAAATATTTAATATTAAATATGTAATAAATAATATTTTCTATTTTCTATATATACATATATATATTACAATTATATTACATACATTTTATATAAAAACATACAAATTTATATTATTTAATATTTAATGTTTATAGTATTTTTAAAACAATATTTTAATATTTATAATATTTTACAAACCCATATTTGATAACTGATTAGTTCTATAACAGATTATTAATTAATATTATATGTAAACTGTTTAATATTTATATTATATATAATATTTATTTTATATTATATTTTATGTACTTATTATTACATAAATTATACATTATATAAATATACAGTATATATTATTATATAACACTTATTATAAATCAAATGAATTTTAAAAAATCTGACATCTGACAAGATTTGATCATTGTGGCATAATCCATTTTTTTAAATATATATATATAATTAAATATATATATATAATTAAATAAATATATAAATTACATAAAAATTATAAGTCAAAAGTCTGGCTACTGGAATCTATAACAAATATTTATCCTTACTATTTAAGAATAAAAAGTGTGCAGTACCAAATTATTCTAATGAAATAAAAACACAGACGAAAAGGTCTGAATTCACTTACAAACACACTAAGCTACAAATAAATAAGAACAAACTCTTTTGTTGATTTAAACAGTTAGACAAACAGTTCAACAAAAGAAAGACTGCTGGCTGAAGAACAGTAAGAAAGAGCAAGATCAGCGCAGTGCTGGGTTCACCGTGCCATCTCTCCCTCTTTCTGCTTCTCCTTGCGTCTCTTTAGCAGTCAAGAGCAGTGCTTATACTCCTAATGCACATATGCTTTGTATCGGGTTACAGCTACGGTATGTGTTGCCATGGACACAGCATGCCTCATGATAGACGACCCAGGTCCTTTTTTTAATCAGCTGTAAGAACCGAACCAAAAAAGCAGGAAAGCTTTTATGATATTACGTTATTTATATGTTATTATGTGCCCTCCACTCTCTGAACATAATAAAAAGAAATGAGATCTCCCGCTGCAATTATTTGGCCCATGGTTTTGCCAGTATAATTTAACACATTCAAAGAAGGGAACAATCAAACAGCTGCTGATGGAATTTGAGCCCATGAGGCCTGATGTGGCCTTGTATCAATAGCCGCTCTTGTTCTTGACTAAAGGAACTATTACTGTTGCTCACTGTTAACTTAAGTGCAAAACTGTTTGTGCTACAGGCACGAATGATACTGCAAATCATATGGCTAGTTGCTTGGCAGACGATCATCTAAATTAAAGGAGGGAAAATCAAAGACTTGGGGTGTACTCTTTGGCCTTGGGACAATGAGAAACCACCTAGCAACCAGTCAGAACTAGGCCTGTCACAATAACAACCTTTTGTTGTGCGATATATTGCCCCAGAAATAATTGTGATAAGCGATATTATTGTCATTTTAAAGACCATTTTATGCCACTGAATATATAATCATAATGTAACAGCATAATAATGCAAGAAGGCCTACACACTTCCAAATGACAAAAAAACTTTTAATTTTTAAGAATATTTTGATCATGGAAATTATTATCAAAATATTAGACACCTTAAAAAACTTGAATAAATAGTAAATAAACATTTTCTAACAAATCTCATGACTACACCACATTATTT